AGATATGATTTTCCTTTTTCTTTTATTGAGGTATAATTGACTAGTGATACTTGTTTAAAAATATTACAAACTTTATCCAAAGGAAAAAAAATATTACAAATAAATTATTTCAAATGCATGAAAAACAAAAGTATTCCCTGGCTAAAAGGAAATATAATTTCCTCCAAGGGAATGATTCCTAAATTTAAAAAAAAGCCTATATTTGTGTGAATCTTCAGGGCTCTAAAGAGAATGCTCCGCAATAGTATCAAGATACATACTGAGTATGTGGGTAGAATTTCTCAATATAAATAAAATCCATGGAGAGGCCACTTCAATCATTTAAGATCTTCTTTAAAAACTAAAATTGCCAAACTCTCAATTAATCTTCTTCAAATTAAAAAAAATTTGCTAAGACTAATTTGTAGGAACAAAATATATTATCTTTCTTATCCAACTAAAATGGTGTCAATGGACAGTCATCTAAATTTAAATACAAATGAAAACACCATATTCTCCTACTATAATGTGCATGTATGTCTCACCAAACAAGCAACATCCGATCACTATCTCCTTCCCCAGTTCTGTCTCTGACCCTTTAATACTCCACACACTGCCAACACTGTGCCAGATCTATAATGACCAGACTTTACAGAGGAATTTTGTTTACTGACCAGGTAATTTAAGATTTCTTTATATCATAAAGGTTGAGGAGCGGGCATTTTCCTTAGATTATATTAAATATTAATTAGTCTTTCAGGTAAATTTTGCCACTGAATTTTAATAGTCAATGTAGATGTAAATAGTGCAAATAAAGTAGTATTTAGGGAAGTTTAATAGGATATACAAATCTAAGCGTGCCTCAGTGGCTCAGTCGATTAAGCACGTGACTTCTGATTTCAGTTCAGGTCATGATCTCAAGGTCCTGAGATGGAGCCCCGTGTCTGGCTCCAAGCTGGCCATGGCACCTGCTTGGGGTTCTCTCACCCTCCGCCCCTCCCCCTGCTCATGTGCTTGCTCTCTCTAAAAAATTAAAAAAATTTAAAAAAAAAAGAATATACAAGTTGAGATAGGAATAATGATGGGTCCAATTGATCCCACTGAGGTCAGTTAGCTGCAGGATTAGTTTTCCAACAGAGTTATCTTTCAGTTTTAACAACTCTGAACAAGAGATGGTTCCATGCAAATCACCCCGTTGCAAAAACAACTTAAAGCACATACCTAGACAGCATGTCAGTAGTTTTCTATAAAAAGTGCAATATATTTCCCTCAGGTCATGATCCCGGGGTCCTGGGATTGAGCCCTGCCTTGGGCTCCCTATAAAAAGTCGGCTTCTCCTCCCCCTCCCCCACTCGTTCTCGCTCTCTCAAATAAAATCTTTTTTTAAAAAATAGTGACATTACATCCTTTTAAATTTATCTAAACCACCAAACACGTGCTACTTGTTTGCTAGTAATCAGGCTCCCAGCGTTTTAGAGCCCAAAAATATACCCTTTCTTTCTGAATTTTAATGGAAAGATTTTCTCTTTCCTTTGACAAGCAAATGCCATCATAGAGAGGAGCACATTTACAAAACTCTTAACCATACCTGAAACTGACCAGAAACTGATTCAGAAATTAAGTCTACAACAGCAGGAACTCTAACTGTTCACAGTAAAGTTCAATCTTCCCGTAAGTCTTCAAGTTCTCCCTCCTTCACAGCCACAGGTAAAGGAGACAGAGACTCACACAGGCCTTGACACATTGTTGACAAGCAGACATAAATAACTGTAACAATGACACCTCAGGAAATGACTGAGCATTCTAATCATCTTACAACCCTCATGCACTGGGGCACCTGGTTCATCCTCCTCAGTGTGAATACAGTCAACACTAAGAGGAAGAGACTTCTTGGAACCCTCTTCCGGCCACACAAGCTTCTCAGTTTGAGTATCACAGCACTTTAGGAAAAGGATTTTTAAACTTACCCCCCAGACTTAACCCAGACTCTCAGGGTAGGAAGACATCTTAAAAATCATACAGTAATCCTATAGCTATGTGCTGCCCAATAAGGTCCAAGCCATTCGCTAGCTACATGTAGCTACTGAGCACTTGAAATGTGGCTTGTCTGAATTCAAATGTACTCTCTAAGTATAAAAACCAGATTTTGTAGATTAAGCATGAAAGAATTCAAAATATCTCAATATTAACTTACCAAATGGATTACACCTGAAACTGTATGGGTTAAATAAAATATATTATTAAAATTAATTTCACTTGTTTCTTTTTTATTTTTTATTTAGGAATCTTTACATCGCTCTTATGGCTTGCATTACAGTTGGATTGCTACAGACCTCTAGACCCTAGAGCAATACCTATAGACTCACAGTCTTAGTTCTAATAGCAAACAAGAGCTAACACTTGACATTTCCCAATTACAACTGCCATTCAAAAGCCAAAAGAGGGGTTCCTGGGTGACTCGGTCGGGCTCTGAATCTTGGTTTTGGCTTAGGTCATAATCTTGGGGCTATGGGGGACAGAGCCCCATGTGGGTATCCTCGCTCAGAGGGGAGTCTGCTTCTTTTCCTCTCTCTCTCCCTGTGCTCCCCCCACCACGCTCTCTCTCTCTAAAATAAATAAATCTTTTAAAAAATAATAGAAATAAAAGCCAAAAAAAAAAAGCAGTATTTTATTTTCTGGATCCACTGAGATTATAATAAAAATAACTTAAGAAGAGTGTAAAAACAGAATCACTTTGTCCTGACACCATTTTAAAGAAAGATTACTTGACTTCAAAAAGGCAAAAATAGGGGCGCCTGGGTGGCTCAGTCGTTAAGCGTCTGCCTTTGGTCCTGGGATCATATTGGGCTCCCTGCTCAGCGGGAAGCCTGCTTCTCCCTCTCTCACTCCCCCTGCTTATGTTCCCTCTCTGGCTGTGTCTCTCTCTGTCAAATAAATAAATAAAATCTTAAAAAAAAAAAAGGCAAAAATAGCACAGGATGCAGAAACTACACCTCTTAAGAAAATAAGGTGGGAAATACACAAACCAAGTTTTTCTAATAAAGTAGATCTGAATGCTGATTATAAGATATATCTTTAAAGTAAATTAACATTTCTTTCATTTCCAGTATCTAGGGCCTCAGAAAGATATGTAAGATCTTGTCTTTATTATTCAAGCACCTTCAACCACAACCAACCACTAACATTATAAAAAGGGAAATACTCATAACCTCTCTTGTTCAAAACTAAAACAACAAAACAAAACAACAACAACCAAAAAAAACACAACACAAGAGCAAAATAAGAAACAATTTCTCTAGGGCTGGGTAGGCTACCTTTGGTCCATAAACCTTATGAAATAAGAAAACATTTTAAAATAAATACCTTGCACGTGATTCTTTTAGAAGTGTATTTTAAACGTGAGAAACTCAACAACACATTTCTAGAAGCAAACCATTTCTTCATCATAAGACATCTTTCTTCTTTATTTGATTTAAAAGTATTCAGGCCTCCAGGGCTTTTAAAGAAAAAAACCCACTGTATTTCTGAATCTATGAAAATATTTTTAAAAGGGTAGAAAAGGAGAAAGCTCTTTAAAGAATGGAGGGGGAAAAGCTTTCTTGGGTGTCCAGAGGATGCAAGAGTCACTTTTAGAAAACTGTCAGTGGGGAAACCGTATAAAAAAATTTTTGAGGAAATTTAGACCAAGGAGTCCCCAAGGCTTCCACAACAGTTGGTGAGATACTTTCTATGGTGTCCTAGCAAATTTATAATCCCCAAAACGCCATACATATTTGGCTGTCAACTTCTTCATCCATTTTGACATTCATCAGCTGAGTATAATCTTCAGACTTCAATTTGCTAGGTGATACATTCCTTAGAAACCTTTTCCTCGTGCATATAAATACCAAGCTCAATTACGCTCCCCGTCGAGTAAGCAGAAAGGATTGCACATATTTTAATGGGGGTGTTGATTGGCTACAGTTTCCTGCCCTGGTGTAGAGTACTGGGAAGTCTCTTTCTGAGTATAATCCTTAAACCCCGAAATCACTCTCAGGGACTCGAGTCTTCTAACATTGCCCAATAGGTAAGAAGACTGCCAAAATTTCCATTAGAGCATCCTATTTTTAGAGTCTTTGGAATTGGTCTTCAAAATTGCATTCCACAGTATGTATCTGAGTAAGTTTATGCAGGGATCAAAATAAGCATCCTAAAGTCGTAACCTTTCTAAGCTTACAAATGGATTTAAAGCTCTTAACCCTTAATTTTAAAAAGCCTTAACTTTAAATCTGTTTAACACGCAAATTAAACACAAAAATTATGGTAGATACCGACCCAGAGGGAGGTCCGGAAGGGAGACCCCCGGGCGGTTCTCGGTGGTGGCGGAGGGGACAGGTATGAAGGCAAACAAGGACGGTCCCCGGGGTGGGGAGCCAGAGCCGCGGCGGGGGGCGAGCGCGACACCGACACCCGGCTGCAGGAACCACAGGCGCGCGGGCGAGCGCGGAGGGCACGGGACTGCCCCGCACCAGGAGCGCAGAGGCTGCGCGCGGCGCCGGGGGAGGAGCGAGGGGGTCCCGGGGGGATTTCCCGCCGCGAACGCCAGCCGGCCGGCGCCCCACATCCCGCTCATCCTCTCCTCACCTAGGAGTCGCAGGCGAACACAGGGCTACGGCTGGGCGCCGGGTATGTTTCCAGCCCCGCTCGCTGACATGGCGGCCGAAGAGCTGTCACAGAGCCTACTCGGGTCTCCCGCCGCTCCGGTGGAGGAGACACCTCTTGCCTTCCCGCCCCGCCTCCCTCTGAGCACTCTTCCCCGCTGGCCGGCTGGCGGCGGGCGGCCCGCGACCGCGGAGCATAGAGCGCGAGTGGCTAGAGAGGAAGCGTGGGGGGGCGGTTGGGGGGGCGGACAACCATAGAGTACCAGTCCAGACGCAACCCGGATGGTCCGTCTCTCTCCTCGTCCGTCCACTCACAGTCCCCGGTCGGCTCTCCCGGACGGAAACGGAAGTGAGGGAAATGGCAAGAAGAAGAGACCGTTCGCATGCGCAGTTTGGTGTCTAGTCCTGCCCGGCCTAGTCGGCTGGTAGGAGGATGTTACACGTGGAGGTCTCTGTACGGAGCTCGCTGACGCTCTCCGGTGACGCTGGGACAGAACTTAGAGGCTGAAGATGTCGGTCCCGGTGGCGGGGCTCCCGCCGCGGCTAGCGCTCTCAGCCTTTGCCGGCGCTGGTCGCTTTTGCGTGTTGGGGTCGGGAGCGGCGAGGTGGAGGGGCGTCCGCGCCGGGCACCGCCGAGGTTTGTCTGACCTCCACCTGCAGCTGGTGCCTAGTCAGGGTTTCAGAGACTCGCCCTCTTGGTTGCCCAAGTACCGCTCAGAGCCCAAGAGTTACGTAACCAGTCCGAAACTGGCCACGACCTTGGTGCAGATCCTGAAGAAAGAACGGAAAAACCCTGACCAACTCTTCCTGGAGTGCAATCCAGGTGAGTCCCCCGGGGACTGCCTTTCCTTGGACGTTCATCGCTCGTGCGGACTTCCCTCGACGGCCCGTGGGGGGCCGTTTAAGACATGGCCGCAAGAAGCAACTTGGATGGTCGGTCTCAATCATGACCTGCAGCAGTTTGCACGTCATACAGCATTTGATAAAAACATGCTCCTAGATTTTACTTTCTCCTCAAAATACTTGCAAGCTCTCCCCCGCCAAAAAAAAACTTTTATCTTTTACATATGCCTTCTAGAGACCGTAGCAGGATACCTAGAACATAAGACTTACAGACTTTCTGAAAAATACTTTTTTTGGTTCAAAGATTTTTTTTAATTTTTTAATTAAGCTCTGTATCCAACGCAGGGCTCGAACTTACGACCCGGAGATCAAGAGTCGCATGCTCCACCGAGTGAGCCATCCAGGCGCCCCTGAAAAAATACTTTTTTAAAGGAGCACTGCCTGTCATGAGTCAGTTCTGTTTGGGTTTGACAGTATCTTTTCCTGGTTAAAGTATTTGGGTAGTCCATGAATAAGTGGAATGCTAAAGGCAACTTTGTTTTTTCTGAGACATAGTAAAACATTATGATCAAGAGCTCAGGCTTTGGCTTTGACAGAATGGATTCAAAGCCAAGCTTCACCACTTACCAGTTGTGATATTGGAGTCAAATGATTTTATCTAATTCCTAGTTTTCCTATGTGTAAATGAGGACTGTAATCTACCTTGGGGATGTTGTGAGGCTCAAAATTAGATAATACATGTGAAACATCTACTCTAGTCGATATTGAGAGAAGTTGTTTTGCAAATAAACTTTTCCTTCTGTTAACACTAGGTCCTGGAATCCTGACTCAAGCATTACTTGAAAGCAAGGCCAAAGTGATTGCCCTTGAAAGTAACAGAACTTTTCTTCCACATTTGGAGGTATACTTTTAGTTTCTGAAATTAATTTATTGTGCAGAGAGCTATCTTTGAGTCTTTAGGGAAGTGAAAATGAAGCACACAATTTATATAGAATCACTTTGGAGGGCCTTGCTTGCTGTTACAATAACAATATATTGTTATCCCCCATGACTAGAACATAAGAGGTATCAATGCTTGTTGAATGACTGAAAGACTGGAGTTCTGAGACTTGTTCTCTGATTCTAGCTCTGCTGCAGACTAGTTGGGTGACTTTGAACAGTGTGTAACTGGCATCTCGAGGCTTGTTTCCTTATCTCTAGTAGGGTATCCTGTGCCCCTGCTTTCTGTGAACTTAGAATCTAGGTTAACAGGACTATGTTAACTCTGGATTTAGGGTTTCAGAGGCAAGATAGGTTTGGTATAGTCAGATACAATTGCAGGTAGTGAAAGCATTATCCAAATGGGTTTTTCAGTGAATTCTGCTGCTTGTATGGCAGACAGGTTTACGTAACAGTGAAGTGGAAATTCATTGTCTCACCGCCAGCCTCTTTCCTTCTCTTTCCCCTCCCTTCTGAGTCTCTAGATTCAGTTTAGGAAATTTATACTTCTCTGAGCCAAATTCCTGAAACCATGTGTAATGGTATTATTTAAAAGTGCAGGACAACAGGGACGCCTGGGTGGCTCAGTCGTTAAGCGTCAGCCTTCGGCTCAGGTCATGATCCCGGGGTCCTGGGATCGAGCCCCGCATCGGGCGCTCTGCTCCGCGGGAAGTCTGCTTCTCCCTCTCCCACTCTCCCTGCTCATGTTCCCTCTCTCGCTGTGTCTCTCTCTGTCAAATAAATAAATAAAATCCTTTAAAAAAAAAAAAAGTACAGGACAACAAAAAATTACAAAAATGTCCACCAAATCCAGTTTATTTTTTAAATAAAACTATGCATGTTAGGTGGTGGTTATCCTACAACTGACAGCTTTGAAAAGAATTCAAGGTTTTTTTTTGTTTTTTAAGATTTTATTCATTTGAGAGAGAGAGCACAAACAGAGGGGGAGAGAGAAGCAGAGCCGAGCAGGGACCCGGATGCACGACTCAATCCCAGGACCCTGAGATCATGGCCTGAGCCTAAGGCAGGTGCTTAACCGCCTGAGCCACCCAGGCGCCCCGAGAATTGAAGGTTTTAGCCAGGTTATTTAATTGATGCTGAATCTGCTGGAATCCCAAAAAACATGAAGAGAAAAGAACACAAAATTGTTGAAAGATCATGGAGTGTGATTTAGTCATCATAACCATCTGTAATTTCAGTTTCACCATAGGAATTGGAAACAAGATAGCTTTTATTTTGATCTTTTAAAAAAAGGATTACTTTTTTTTTTTTTTTTTTGAGAGGGAGGAGGAGAGAAAGAGCATCTTCACCAGGCTCCACGCCTAGCTTGTAGCCTGACCCAGGGCTCGATCTCAGGACTCTGAGATCATGACCTGAGCTGAAATCAAGAGTTGGACACTCAACTGACTAAGCCACCCAAGTGCCCCAAGGCCTACTTTTGAAGGTTAATCTACATGTTCACAAAACAATTGAAAACATTAAAATGTCTATTGAGTTTCTTATCCAATAACACAGTAGTTGCTTTCTTGTAAGATCAAGATACATGTTAATTTGAAATCCATGATTCCCTGAAAAATGGAGTGTTAGGGGCTAGAAAGTTCACGACACGCAGAACTTTCCTGTAAGAAATATAGGAATATTCATCGTAAATGTTTCTGAAACTACAGTGTAAACACAAAATCCATCTCTGATCAAATCCAGTCTTTGGTTAGAACTAAGTTTGTGTTCCAGTTCTAACTCCCCATCCCCACTCCCCTCAGCACTAACTTGAGCTCAGCCATCAGTAGGTATTTACTCTTAGTAATCATCATTATGACAGAGGGGAAAGCCATTCAAATAAGGTTTTATGTGAATTCATCTATTTGCCAGAATAAAAGAGAAGTAACCATTTAAATAGAAGTTTTGTGGGCACCTGGGTGGCTCAGTCAGTTAAGTGTCCAACTCTTGGTTTCGGCTCAGGTCATGATCTCAGGGGTCATGGGATCAAGCCCTGAGTAGGGCTCCTTGCTCAGCAGGGAGTTGGCTTGAAGATTCTCTCTCTCCGTTTGCCCCTCCCCCTGCTTGTGTGCATGTTTGCACACGCACTCTCTCTAAATAAATCTTAAAAAAAAAAGAAATAAAATAATTAGAAGTTTTACGGTGACCCTAAATCACAGCTTTAAAGTGGTGCTCTCAGCAGACAATGCTTCTAGCCACCCAGAGTTTGCTCCTAAAAACTGAAAAGATTTTCAAGGATGATGCTCGACTCAGAATTTTTGTCTAACATTAGAACTCCCACCCTCTCAAATAAAATTCCTGGGACTCCACATTAACAGTGTTTCAAGCAGGAACAGTTAGTTTGCCTATCTGGATGTGCTAGAGGTACAGTTTTTAAATTGTGTTCTATAATAATAAATCATGATAGATTCCTTTTGAAAATGAGAACTACTGTTGCAGAAAGAGCTATACATGTTCAGTTGAAGAGCCCTCAACTTTTGTGGCAAGCGTTGTGGTATTTCAGCAGAGATAGAACAGTCTTTTCAAGTCATGCTGAAATGTCAGCCCTAGCTATCACTACCTTTAAGGCCCTTGGGCAATTAAGTAATTTAATGTTTGACTTTTCTCATATGTAAAATAGAGACATTAATGCCCCACTTGTAAAGGATCTTGTTGCAGTTTGTTTTTATTTTAAGGATTTTATTTATTTTAGAGAGAGAGCAAGGGTGGTGGGGGAGGGGCAGAAGGAGAGAGAGAATCACAAGCAGACTCCCAGAGCGTGGAGCCCAATGTGGGGCTCAGTGTGATGACCCTGAGATCATGACCTGAGTCATAATCAAGAGTTGGATGCTTAACCAACTGTGCCACCCAGGTGCCCCTCTTGTTGCAATTTAAATACGATGAAATGTGCTTCCTGTTTTTGAATCCTAAATGAAATCAAGTTTTTAAATGTGATTTCACTATTATTGTAGAACTAAATTATTCTGGAGTTTTGGCTGTTGTATCATTATTACCATTATTGCATGGTACGTGACAGATGCAAAAACAAAAACGTACTTTCAAAATACTAGTGGAACCAAATCTTAATGTATACGTTCCTCTTACATTCCTATCAAACCAAAATTCAATAGTTTTTCTTAGTTACAAAGATTAAAATATAGCTCTTGAGTAACTTCTGAGGTTATTTTATTGCTATACATACAGAACACTTTGTAAGAATTTCAAAATAATCTGTTTTTAAGATAAGCATCAAATAAGTGTTCTTTTTCTCTGTCGTAACACCACAGTCTGATTTTCTTCTTTACATTTTTGGCTTATTCTCAAGCTTTTTGTGAGACTGGAGTTACTCCATCCTCAGGCCTAGTCTTCTGTGCTTCTCCCTAGGGGGTCTCATCTGCACCCCTGGCTTTAATAACCTTCAACAAGCAAAATTCTCACCAATTTATATCTTTGGCCTGGACCGCTCCACTGACCTCCCTATTCAGGTCTACAACTTCCTACCTGGCATCTCCACGTGGTTCACCTAATAGACATCTCAAACTTAACAGGACTAAAAGTATATGATTTCTACCCTAGTCTATTCCTTCCCTAGTCTTTTTCAAGGGTCCCCACGAAAATGATCATTAGAATTTACTAGATTTATAAATAAAATAATATTTATAGGTTGAAATAAAAACTTATGAAAAATTAGGGTTTTTATTTTGTAACTTTAAATTGCAAATTCTTGAAACTTTGATATATACCAATAGAATTTTCTGTGCGTGAGAATCTCAAAATGTATATCAAGTCCCTTGACCTCTTCTGTTTGATTTTTTTTTTTTTGGTAACTTCTAATGAAGTTTATGGAGTCTGTAGCTACGCCTTGCTCTCACTGCTAAGATGTCCCGTGCTACGACAGAGCCAGCACATCAGGGCAGTGAAAAGACGGAGGTATATCGGACCTCTTCTGGCAGACAAGGAGCTTTCCTTCCGTAGTTGCTTCTGTCTTTAGAAAATGTAAATGAAAAATCAAGGGGAAAATGGAAAGTGACCTACACGATGACTGTAGCCAAGTTCATTTGGTGAAGGGCTAATTAGACTCTTCTAGTAAAAACAGGACTGTCTGCCTTTCCCTTTAATATTTTTATCGTTTTTCTCTATGAATCATCTGGCCACGACCAGCACACAGTTGCCGCTCTGTACCCGGGCCCAGGTGCGGTCTCCAGGCGGCCGCCACTAAGCAGTCAGATAGTGTGAGGACACTTTGAACAGCTGAAACCATTGAGATAAAGTAGAGAAAGTGAATGGATAAGTGAGAATTTGTTGAAGGTTTTTTGGTTTGGGGGCTTTTTCTTAGTAATACTGTAGTTTCGTTGCTTTTCAGGCATTAATTACTCTTAACTGTTAAGTTTTAGGTAAATTTTTTGAAGTAGATCTTTGGGTACAAAGTCTCCCTAACACAGTTTTAAACATGTTATCTCTGTCTCTCTTCAGTCCCTGCGCAAAAAGGTGAATGGAAAACTAGAAGTGGTCTACTGTGACTTCTTTAAAATGGATCCTAGAAATTTTGGAATAGTAAAACCTCCCATTATGATTTCAGAAACGCTTTTTCGGCATTTGGGAATAGAAGCGGTTCCTTGGTCAGAAGGTAATTTTTGTCATTCACTGCAGCAAATAGCTTCTGATTTGCCAGCTTTCTCTAGCAGGACACCTTGTCTGCTGAAGAGATCCGCATCCTGTCTAGGGGAGAGTTTGTGGGCGGGACTGTGGCTTTCTCCTCACATAGACAGAATCCGAGCAGCTCCACGGAGGCCAAGCGCCCTTCGAGGAAAGATGCCAAGGCTTCGTTTTAATTGACTTAATACAGTTTGTTAACTTAGTTTGACTCAATAAAATATGATCTTAGGAAAAAGTTTTAACAACTTACTCGAATATTTTTGCTTGTATTCCTAACAGATACCCCATTAAGAGTAGTTGGAATCTTCCCAGCGAAAAATGAGAAAAAGATACTTTGGAAGCTTTTATATGACCTATATTCTTCTACTTCTGTATATAGTTATGGGCGAGTGGAACTAAATATGTTTATTACTGAAAGGGAATACGAGGTAGGTTATTAACAGGTACCTGATTAGTGTTTGTTTTGCAAGAGTTTTGTGATCTTTCTCTGCATGGTCTTAATCTGTTTGACTTTAATTTGAGCTCATGACATTGAGGGTATTAAGATGGTTTTTAAATTTCTGTAGAGCAGTCTTTAGATTCAATTTTTTTTTAAGGTTTTTTTTTGTGGTTAAATATCCATGTGACAGGGACGCCTGGGTGGCTCAGTCGTTAAGTGTCTGCCTTCGGCTTAGGTCATGATCCCAGGGTCCTGGGATCGAGTCCCACATCGGGCTCCTTGCTCAGTGAGGAGCCTGCTTCTCGCTCTCCCTCTACTGCTCCCCCTGCTTGTGCTCTCTCTCTCTGACAAATAAATAAAAAACTTAAATAAATAAATAAATATCCGTGTGACATATTTACCATTTTAACTGTTTCTCAGTATACAGTTCAGTGGCATTAAGTATATTCACATTGTGGTACCACTGTTAACCACCATCTATCTCTTCTCAGCACATTTTTATCATTCCATACAAAGTAAGCATTACTTCCCATCTTCCCCTTCCCCTGAGCCTCTGGTAAACATTGTCCTACTTTCTGTCTCAGTGAATTTGACTATTCTAAGTACTTCATCATAGGTGGAATCATAGAATATTGCACTTTGTGTTTGACTGAGTTCACTTAGCATAATATCTTTATGGTTCATCCAAATCGTAGCATGTGTCAATTCCATTTTCTTTTTAAGGCTGAAAAATATACATTGTATGCATATACATATGTATATATTTACACACAAACATATACACATAGATACATACCCCCACCACCTTTTCTTTATCCATTCATCTGTCAACAGACATTTGAGTTGCTTCCACTTTTCGTTACTGTGAATGATGCTGCCGTGAGCTTTGGTGTGCAAATATCTTTTCCAGTCCGGCTTTTAGTACTTTTGGCTGTATACCCAGAAGTGGAATTGCTGGATCATATGGCAATACTATTTTTTTTTTAAGATTTTATTTATTTATTTGAGAAAGAGAGGGAGAGAGAGAGAGAGCACAAGCAGGGGGCAAGGGGGAGAGAGAATCTTTTTTAAATTTTAAAGTTAAAAAAAATTATTTATTTGAGAGAGAGGGAGCACAGAGCAAGAGGGAGAAGCAGACCCCTGCTGAGAGGGAGCCCAACTTGGGGCTCAGTCACAGGACCCTGAAATCATGACCTGAGCTGAAAGCAGATGCTTAACCCCATAAGCCACCCAGGCACCCCAATACTACTTTTAATTTTTTTCAAGGACCCACCCTACTGTTTTCCATAGTGTCTGTACCATTTTATATTCCCACCAGCAATGCACAAGAGTTCCAATTTCTCCATGTTCTCTCCCAACACTTGTTTTCTGTTTTTTATAATAGCTGTTATAATGCTGTGAGGTAGTAGCTCATTGTGGTTTTGATTTGATTAGTGATGTTGAACATCTTTTCATGTGCTTATAGTCCATTTGTGTATCATCTTTGGAGGAATGTCTATGAAAGTCGTTTGCCCTTTTCTTTGGGTTGTTTGTTTTTCTGTTGAGTTTAAGGAGTTATTTATATATTCTCAATATTAATTCCTGCTCAGATATGTGATTTATGAATATTTTCTCCCCATCAGTGGGTTGCCATTTTACACTGTTGTGTCCTTTGATTCCCAAAGTTTTTAATTTTGATGAAGTCCAGTTTGTCTATTTTTTTTTTTTGTTGCCTGTGCCTTTGGTGTCATAGCTAAGAAATCACTGTCAAATCCAATGTCATGAAGCTTTTGTCTTAAGTTTTCTTCTAAGAGATACATCGTTTCAGCTCTTATATTCTGGTCTTTGATCCCTTTTGAATTACTTTTTTTAATATGGTGTCGGGTAAGGGTCCAGCTTCATTCTTTTGCATATGGGTATCTAGTTTTCCCAGCATCTTTTGTTAAAAAGACTGTCTTTTCCCCATGGAATGGCCTTGGTACCCTTGTCAAAACATCATTTAGTCATACACATGAGGATCTGTTTCTGGGCTCTCTCTTTTATTATTAGGCTATTCAGTGTCTCTTGAAATTCCATATGAATTTTAGGATGGGTTTTTCTAGTTCTGTGACAAAAACATCGTTGGGATTTTGGTATGGATTGTGTTGACTCTGTAGATCACTTTGGGTAATATTGACATCTTAACATTGGTCAGTCTTCCAATCTGTGAACACTGGTTGTTTTTTCCATTTGTTTTTAATTTTTCATAAGTGTTTTGTAGTTTTCAGTGTACAAGTGTACAGTGTACAAGTCTTTCCCCTCCTTGGTTAAATTGATTCCTAAATATTTTACTCTTGGGGCGCCTGGGTGGCTCAGATGGTTAAGCATCTGCCTTCGGCTCAGGTCATGATCCCAGGGTCCTGGGATCGAGTCCCGCATCGGGCTCCCTGCTGGGCGGGGAGCCTCCTTCTCCCTCTGCCTCTCTCTCTCTCTCTCTCTCTCTCTCTATCTCTCTGTCTTTCATGAATAAATAAATAAATAAACTTTTTAAAAAATAAATAAATAAATATTTTACTCTTTTGGATGCTATTTTAAATGGAGTTGTTTCCTTAATTTTGCTTTTCAGATTATTCATTATTAGTATATAGAAATGTGATTGACTTTTGTGTGTTGATTTTTATATCCTGCAACTTTGCTGAATTCATGTATTAGGTTCTAATAGGAATATTTGGGGTTTTTAGACTCTACTCTGACATTTTAGTTCTTTATAGTGTCTTGAGAGTAATGTTTCTTTTCTGCTCAGAATGCTTCACATTATTAATCTTCTAATCCATTGTAACATGAGATGCTTACTTGTATGTAAGAGTTATGGGTTAGCATAGTGGAGCAAGAAATGAAAGGGTGGTTTACTCACCAAGACTCAGTACAGACATAGTGGCTATCCATGGAAAGCATAGGGACTCAGACCCTTGAGGCTGTACATACATTATGTCATGAAAGGTTGAAAGAAGAGAAACGGGAAATGCTTCATCAGGTTTTTTCTTGCTACTGGGGAAACGTTCTAGTGCTTCTTTTACCATGGACCTTTTCATGTGTGGTTTCCTTTGTGTAGTGCTCTCATTCACTGAGGAAACTGCTCATCCTTCAAGTGTCAGCCTGAACAATTCTTGACTCAAAATTTATTAGTCCACCTGATACATACTTCTAACACACACTTGTCCTTCTCCGAAGTAATTATACATTTTTTTTAAAGATTTTATTTATTTATTTGAGAGAGAGAGAATGAGAGATAGAGAGCACGAGAGGGAAGAGGGTCAGAGGGAGAAGCAGA